AGTTCAGTTCAGATCAGTTCAGATCAGATCAGATCAGTTCAGATCAGTTCAGTTCAGATCAGATCAGAGCAGATCAGTTCAGATCAGATCAGTTCAGATCAGATCAGATCAGATCAGTTCATATCAGTTCAGTTCAGATCAGTTCAGATCAGAGCAGATCAGTTCAGTTCAGATCAGATCAGAGCAGATCAGTTCAGATCAGATCAGATCAGATCAGTTCAGATCAGATCAGTTCAGATCAGATCAGATCAGATCAGAACAGATAAGAATGTATAGATCATATAGATCATGTGGTTCTTGGTGGATTCTGATGAGTGCTTTGTTTATACTGACTGTGGACCACATTTCAAATTGTATATCACTACATCTGGAAAACAACTGGAGTATACAGGGAACCTGGTTTCATGTTTGATTTCATACTTTTCCGTTGGTACACTGAAGAAGTTTGAGTTCCTATGAGTAAATACAAATTCAATGTTTTGTGTCTGCATTCACACTTCAGGCCAGCTGTTGATGAAAATATATTTAAAGTTTCATATTGAATCATTTTTGTAAATAAAGCAACATAAAGGCAATAAAAATAAGAATGAGTGCCGATGACATCATTTATCTATTCAGTTCAGTTTATTTAAACATCGCCAAGTCACAACTGAAGTTATTTCATCATTATTATTATTATATCATACTATTATAAATTGGAGAGTTTTCATTTGGATGTTACATAATTATTTTTAATCCAAAATCACCTGATTTGCCCTCTATCATGTTTTAGTACAAAACAAACAAACAAACAAAAACCCTGAAAATCTTTTTTGATCTAATACGTAGTTTTATCCAGGTAAAGCTGAGAGAACATGAGGAACACTTTATGGAGGTAGTTTTCTTAAACAACACATTCTCTGTTTTATGTGTGACGGAGGAAGACAGAGGAACAATGGAAGATGAGTGAAAAAGTTCAAAGGGCAAACAAGCACAGACCAAATTAAAAAACATCAGTATGTTTACGACTCTGAAGCATACATGGCATTTCAAATAACTAAATACATCCATATCTAATTAATTAAACCCTTATTATTTTAAGTAAACTACACAGATGTGGATATTTCCATATTATAGCTGTAAATTAGCATTGGGCAACAAACAGAGGCAGCAGCACAGTTCAGTTCAAAGTTCAGTTTTATTAGTTTTCCACCATCATTAAACTCAGTTCTCTAGTTTTCTCAAGCACTGATTACCAAAAAACAAATGACTCAGCGAAACATGGAGCTATCAGTGACTTAGCAGCCTCCAGTGATGGACGTTAGTGTCCTGACGCAGACGAGCATTAAACCAGGTGTGCTTCTCCAATCAGGGATAGGTTCAACTCACAGATAGGAGCATAAATGTCATTCTCTTCAACTGTCCAGATCACCAACACAAACGTCACTTGTATAAAATACTTCCAGACTTGTCTGGCTTGTGGATGTGGCTGTGGTATCTGCAGAAGTTTGAGATTGACAGGTGGTGACATCACTACTGCCGAGATGGGCTCTGGTGAAATGACAGATCCGGGAATTCTCCAAACGATGCAGCATCCTAAACATTCCTGAACAAACTGAAGGAAGATCTAATATCCATCCATCCTTTATCTTTTACCCGCTTCCTCCATTTTGGGTCACGGGGGGGCGGGGGACACCCTGGACAGGTCGCAAGTCCATCACAGTATGTGTGTGTATATATATATATACATACATATATATATATATATATATATATATATATACATATATATACATATGTGTGTGTGCGTTAAATACATTACTGAACTGCTCTTTTGTTGTACTCAGACAAGAGTGAGCTCAAAAATGGCAGAGATCAGCAACAACTGATGTTTTTCAGATGACTGGATGAATTAAAAGCTTGTTTGATAAAATATTGAATTCTGCAGCATGTCTGACCTGTATTTGGCATATTTACATGATAAACTGAAGTATTCAAGTAGAATAAAGTTGCTCAGAGCAATGTATGATTGAAAAAAAGATATCCAGAACTGTTTGAGAGAAGATGTTGGAGTCAGTCTCCCCACCATCACAGACATCTACACCTCCAGATGCAGGAAGAGGGCCACCTGCATCATGAAGGACCACACTCACCCAGCACACACACTTTTTGCCCCGCTTCCCTCAGGAAGGAGGTTGAGGAGCATTAAGTGTAGAACCACTAGACTGAGGAACAGCTTCTACCCTGAGGCTGTTAGACTCATGAATCAATAACCAGAATAATCTCTGTGAAAAATCACATCATGTTGCTGCTGATCTGTTTCACGTTGCTGCTGATCTGTTTCATGTTGCTGCTGATCTGTTTCATGTTGC